AACAATGTTTATAATGAACCTAACAAACACCAAATAAAGTGGGCATTTTCACATACATAGTATAACAGAAGATGGTGTACATGAATTTGAGAGACAGCTTTGACAGCCCTTTGATTATTAATATTGTGAAGCATAAAACAGGGAGATAAGTGTCCCCCAAAGGGTGTTTTAATCACTTTCATGAAGGATATTCTGTGCTACATCAAATGAAAGAAGGAATCCCCTATAGATGGTGAGCTTTTCCAACTGTTCCTGTTTGTGAATGGCACTGTACCAATTGCATTATGTATGGAACTGCAGAACCTCTTAAATAAAATCTATAATCACTCAAAAGAGTTTGGCCTAACTTTCCCCACAAGCAAAACCAAGTGGATCAGTAATGCTTCTTGTTCAAACTATGATATGCAATTGAATGGATAACCTATAGAACTGGTCCATCAGTATATATGTCTTGGACCTACACTGTGAATGGACAATGAGAGGGCCTGGAATTGGTCAGAAGGAAGAAAGCTAGCTGGATTGCCTTTGGGAAATTGAAAAGTTCCTTTAATAATGTTCAGCCTCTCCCTGAAAGAAACGTTCATTATTTTTATCATCTGTATTCTGACAAAGAGGCAGCATAGTTGAGTGGATAGAATACTGTACTTGGAGTCAGGAAGTCCTTGGTTCACATCCTCCATCCATTGTTTTACTGGCTTATGTGACCTTGGGTTTCACGTCTTTTGCTTCCTGGAACGGCCCAGACCAGCCATGCCTGATTCTCCAGACTACAAGGGTATCTTCTCTTCTCCACACACACCCCCTCCCCCTTTAGCTTTTCTACTCCTCTTTTATGTGTTGGCTTCCTCTATTAGAATGTAAGTTCCTTTGAGACAGTGATTATCTTGCCTTTTTTTTTTTTTTTTTTTTACTGAGGCAATTGGGGTTAAGTGACTTGCCCAGGGTCACACAGCTACTAAGTGTCAAGTGTCTGAGTCCGGATTTGAACTTCTAACAGTGCCTGGCACATAGTAAGTGCTTAACAGTCAGGAAAGGGAAATAGTGGAGATATAAAGTTTAGAGGAGGCATGATTCTTGACCTCAAGAAGCTTACATCATCAATTGGGGAACAGCTGAATAAGTTTTGATATATGATTGTGATGGAATACTCTCGTGCTGTAAGAAATGATGAGCAAGGGGCAGCTAGGTGGGACAGCTAGGTGGAGCAGTGGATAGAGCTCTGTCCTTGGAGTAAGGAGGACCTGAGTTAAATCCAGCCTCTACATATAACACTCACTACCTGTGTGACCCTGAGCAAGTCACTTAACCTCATTACCTAGCAAAAAAAAAAAAAAAATGATGAGCAGGTTGATTTTAGGAAAACATGGAAACACTTGCATGAAATAAAGCAGAGCAAAACAAGCCAGAACCAAGGAAACGGTTGTTTACAGTAACAGCAAAGAAATTATTCAAAGAATAACTCTGAATGACTAAGCTATTATGAGTAATAATGAACATTCAAATCAACTATGGAAAGACTTATGAAGGAAAATGCTATCTACCTCCAGAGGAAAAAAACCTGATATATGGAAATACGTATTGTGTGGTTCCATTGATATATCCGTATCAAATATCGGCTTTCACTAATGAAGGGTGGGAGGGAGACAAGTCGGAAGTCAAAACGTAATTTAAAAAAACAGATCTTTTTAAAGAAGCTGACAGCGTAGGCAGATGTGTGTAACAGTCCCTGTCGTCCTTATTCACCCTTCTCATTGCTCTAATCCTGGAAGCCTCACCAGGAAAACTCTGCCACTATTGTCTGCACCCTTGGTTCAGGTTCGCGAATACTCGGGAAGACGCATTCCCAATATCCGTGAAATAAACCATAATTTTGGGAAAAGATTTCGCTTCCTCTGCTTTCTCTTCCCCCTTTTCTGGTAAGCTACATCCTTTAGGCATCTTCCTCCTCGTTTCCCTTCCATCCCGACCCCTTCAGACCCCTAGAGTGCAGTCAATTGTCTGCGTCCGAGCTTTTAGGGACTCCTGGGGACTACATTTCCCAGGAAGCCACGCGGCTTTGGTACCCTACTGTCGGTTCCCTAGAGACAGACTTTGCGTCCCAAACTGGATGGGTTGTGGGGAGTCCGAGTTGAGGACGATGATTGGTTGTGCATTTTTTTTTTTTAAGGGAAGGGGGAAAAAAGCAAGATGGCGACAGGCGAGAAGCATCTCCACCCCTGATTGGGGCACCTCCCACCCCCCACCCCCAGAGCGGCAGGCCGAAGTGGGGAGATACTTTGAGTGGTCCAGATCAGGGTGAGGAAGGCTCTCCGGGGAGGAGCGCGCGTGACGGGGTTGGAGGGAGGGAGAGAAGGGGGTGCAGGTCAAAGAGGAGGAATCTTTGGGAAGCGAACAATTCCTCCCTGGGAGAAGGCCTGAGCGCTGCTTGTTCTTCTGCAGGGAACCTCGCGGGCCTGAGACTGTGGACATGGCTGGCCCTACCCCTGACCCCCCCAATCCTCGGCTGTCACCCTGAGGCGGGAGGCTCTTTCTGCTTCTGTGCAGGGGACTCGGGGTCATTCCACAACCTCTGCTCACCCGTCTCTCCTTTGCTCTACAGGGTTAACACCAACACCTGTGCTGGCCCTTCTTTGTCATTTTAAAGGCAAACAGTTTGGCACAGCAGATTTTTTTGTCCAGGGAGAGCAGCACAAACATTTTTTTAGCCAGGAAATTTTTCAACAACTTGTCATATACTATTATCACAAAGGTATTTTGCCCAGCTTTCATGATAACATTAAGTGTTAGTATGATCATCTTTGACTGGTCACATCCAAATGAAAGTTTCTTCCTTTACAACAGGTACCTAAGGACCTAATTCCATTCCCTTTGCTGTGTTATTCATAAAACAGCAAATTGAGGTCTCTGGAGTCAGGGGGTGACAAATGGTTAGAAAAGAAAAGAACAATAATCTTTTAGAAGAATCACTCAGCAGACCAGTACACGTTGAAGATGATCATAGAATCACTGTATTAGAATTGGAAGGCACAAACTGGAGATTTTACTGCAGGTCACTATCTATATCCTTGGTTTTGCTTCCTGATTAAGTTAAAGATAGAATTTTCACTTGCTTATCCCACTGGTCCATGGCCAGCTGTATGCTGTTGTCTCAGATCTCTTTTTCCTCAGGAGGAAACTGTAGCCACGTCATTTACCATGCCCTTCAGGTAGCCTAAGTAATGTGGGAACTAGCATTGGATGTTCCTTCACCCCTCCATCTCCCTCCCCCCATTGCAGCTCCTCCTAGAGCGTCTGGTATATTTTGAGTGGAATAACCTTAATAAGTATGGGTAGAACCTGCATATTGACTAGTGGAGGTATAAAGCGTGTCTCTTAGGTAAATTCTTTCTTCTTCAGCCCTCTCTGCTCTCCAGATTCGTGTTCTTCCTGAAGAGGGCGAGCATCAGAGATCAGGAAATAAATGGCTTCTATCCATGCTGCTGGGTCTCAGGTAATGTGTTGTTCATGCTTCCTTCTGAAAGCATACCCTTTCATAGTCTGCTCCCAAGGAACGCTGAAGTTAATCTGTCTTTTATGGCCAAAGTTATTACATTTGCTCAGAACTCCATGCTCAGCAAGAAGCTGGGGCATTAGCATTAATTTAATATCCTTTTTCTTTGTGCTTTTTCTCCTTCTCTCCCTTTCCCACTCTGGAATGAGAGGTAACTTGATGAATAGGAAAAGCTTCAAGGTTTGAGTTAGTCTCTCTATCCCACAAAGTTTGTTCTTAAGAAACTAACATCTGAGTATTGCTTGCTGATAAGGAATCAGGGCTAGGAAAGGATCTAGAGGGAAAACCTTGACCAGATGTCCCTCTGAGTCTGAGAACTCTCCCTAGCTTGTGCTGGAGACACTGCCTAAATTTCTCAGCAAACTCTCCTCTTATAGTCTTTTTGTTGTGGAATTAAGATATATATAAACAATAAATCAACTGTGAAATGTATATTTTACCTCATGCCATCCAAAAGTATTTCCTTTTGCTTACTAATTTTGTGGCCTTCTCTTTGATTCTTTGTTCTTACCTATAAAATGAGGGAGTTGCAGTAGATGACCTTTAAGGTCCCTTCCAGCTCTATTTTTATGGGCTTATGAACCGTGACATTAATTATGATATACCACAACATATATACAGTAGTACTGCTAAATGATTTGGATACCATTAGGCACAGGGGAGTGACTTTTATTGGTATCATTTGAACATAATTGTTTACTTTGTCATGTATAAACATGTATATTACATATGAGATCATAGAGCTAGAAGAAATCTTAGAGGTTATCTAGTCCAGATTCCTTGTTTTGCAAATGATGGAAGTGAAGCATGAGGCATTTGCCATATGGGAACTGATTGAGTAAACTTTATGTTTTTAGCTTGGAGAAAAGACTTGCAGGAGCATGATTGCTGTTTTTCAGATGTTTGAAAGGCAGCATGGCTTAATGAATATCTAGGATCAAACATACTTACACATACTGGCAGTGTGACCTTTGGAAGTCACTTAACCTTTAAACCTAGGCAAATCAGTGACTACAACAGTGTAAATGGAAAGGAAAAAGCAAAACTAAATGCTTTGTAATTATAATAACCATGCTTAGACCTAGAGAAGAGTTAAGAAAATACACCTGCCTTCTTTGCAGAGGTGGGAAACTATATGTTGATGTATTGGTTTTGCCAAACTGTTTTGTATTTCTTTTTTAAAAAAAAATTATTTGTTACAAGGGATGGTGGACTGGGTAGGGGAAGGCATATTTATAAATAAATGTGATATAAAAAGATATTAATAATTTTTTTAAAAGAGGGACTGGCTTAAATGAATTTCCCTCACATGGTGAGAACCTTCTGTACTGAGTTGGGTAGGGGTTGGGTGGGGTGTCTCCTGTTGTTTCAGGCATCTTTGATGTTCGAGGATTTAGCTGTCTATTTCTCCAGAGAGGAATGTGTGAGTCTGAACCCTTCTCAGAGCCCTCTTTGCTGGGAATCTGTGCCAAAGAATTGCAAGGATCTAATCTCATTTGGTAAGGCCTGCTGTATTGAACAGTCCTGGTGCATCAGAAATTGCAGGGCAATTTGGGATCTGAACTTTAATAGTTTTGGAAAAGAACATCATTCCCAATCAACTTATAAACCAGTTTCCTGAATAGCATTGAACTTGTCCTCAGTTCTGAAGAGAAAGCAGTTTTTATATACCTTGTTCTATATAGTAAGTTTCCCTGGAATCATGGGACCAAAGTCAGAGGGATTTTTTATTTGTGGTTTGATTTTTTTAATTAAGTTAGTAGAAAACTGAGTACATTACTTGGGAAAAACTTCCAGAGTTGGGTCATCTCTGGGAAAATGGTATTAGAGAATACATAACTTTTTGTCTTGACCTGTGATTTCAGTGGTGTAAGGAACTCCTGGTGAGAAAACTCTGAACACCAATGCAGATTGTCAACTGTTCTACAGCTTACAGTCTTAGAGAGTGATTTGAGATAATTAGAAATTAAGTGACTTGCCCAGGGTCACACAGCAAGTATATGACAAAGATGGGATATTATATTAATATATTAAGATGTGAAAACTAGAACCAGTAAAAACTGGTCCTTGACTACAGAAGCCTCTTCAGTTTGGGATGTTATGTGTTATCATTTTGGGTTGATATTCACTGCGATAGTTCTATGCCTCTCTCTCCTACAGGTGTTCTTGTTTCCAAATGTTCTTGACCAAGTACCCAGAGATATTTATGGTGTTCTATTCTACATTGGGAGAGGCTTTGCCTTTATTGTTATTCTTTGCTTTTATTGTTATTTCTTACAATATTGCTTTCCTGGACCATCTTTTAAAAAGACACAGACATTTTGAATGTTTAATTGTGGGGAGTTTCTGTTTTTGTTCCCCAGCTACTTCAAGCCTATAAACATCATAGGAACTGGTTACCTAAGCCAACTCTTAAGTGAATACCTTGGCAAAACAAAAATTCTTTTGTAATATGAATAATAAGCCTATGATGTATCTTTTTTAAAAAATAAATTTGGGCTTTTTTAATTAAGTTTTCTTAAAGTGAGGGAATATCTATGGATATTTATTTAATATTACTACATTGCATCTTACTCAAAATGTCTTCAAGTGACAAACACTATTATTTGTTATGTTTAAAACACAAAGCAATAAAAACATGAAGCAATGGCAATGAATTTAATTCATTTCATATTTATTAAGTATCTACTGTTTGCAATGGAAAATAAAAAAGAAATATATGACAAGTTGCTTTTAGTTTTGTTAGGAAGACTCAAAAACAAACAAACAAAAAGTCAATATAGAATAAAGTACTAAATAGAATACAACCAAGTACCAAAATGTATTAATTAGATAGTAAGAGCAATTGACATCATAAAAAGAAGATATCAGTGGAATTATTAAGGCGGGTTTCATTGACGAAGTGATACAAACAGGCACAAAAAGTTGAATTTGGATAGCTAGAGCAGTTACGGGAATAGAATGATCCAATGCATGAATATGGGATCATGGCTATGATCATGGCATTTGGGGAGGTGGGCATTAAGGAGGTGGGTCTGATTGGATTAAAGAATATTCATTGGGGAATAGTGATTGGGAAGTAAAAGAAAAGCCAGACTACAAGTAGCTATAAATGTTAAGATGAATTAGGACCCAATATACTAAACAATGGAAAGTTATTGAATGTTTTTTGAGTTCAAAAATAACATGAATATCATTATTTTAGAAAGATTTGTGCTATGGATATTGGATTGGAGGGAAAGAGACTAGAAGAGGTATGCCAGGTAAGAGGAAGTTGTAATCCAAATATGAGGTGATGAGATCTTGGACCTCGTAGTGGGACCAGAAAGATTCAGATTTTGAAGAATCACTGGGGCTTGACAGTTAATATAAAAAATGAAAGTAATTGGTATGATGAGCTTGGGTCATTGGTTGTACAATTAGCTGAAATGAGAAAACTGAGAAAAGAGATTGAGAAGAGGTAAGACAATGAATTCTGTATAGTATATTAGATAAATTGAGTCTGAGGTAGATGGCGCATCCAAGTCAATGTTATCTAGTAGACACTTGGAAATATGATGCTTTTGTCAAAGGATAGACTAGGATTTGGGGAGCCATTTAGCATTCAAGTGAGAATTGAAACTATGAGAAAGAATTGACCAGGAAGCAAAAAGAGAAAAAAGGCTGAGGAATGAGCTTTAGGGAAACACAGAGAATTAAGGGATGAGATGAGGACAAAGAGACTGGTAGCATGGCATAATTAAAAGAGCACTGTTCTTGGGGTCAGTGGATCTGGATTGAATTTCTAGCTCTGTCATTTATTTGCTGTGTGATTGTATGCAAGTCATTTCATCACCACCATCCTTGACTTTAGTTTCCTTGTCTGTAAAATGAAAGGAATGGATTAAATGATCTCTAAGGCCTCTTCTAGCCTACTGAAAAGGTAAAAATAGAAAAGAGCATAGTGTAGTACCAGAGAAACTAAGGGAGAAGAGAGTTTTAAGGAAGAATGGATGGCCAGTAGTGTTGAATGTAACAGAGAACTCAAGGAGAGAAAAGGGGTGATTATCTAAAAGTGATCATAGTCACCTACAAAAGGGCTGATTCAATAGAATGAAAACTTTTTTTTTTAATGTTACTGGTTGAGGGAAGGAATAGATAATGAAGAAATGGGAGTGATGGAGTTAGTCCAGTTGTTCAAGAAGTTTAGTTTTATTTGGAGGGAAAGAAAAACCTATACATGTTTGAAGGCAAAATAAAAAGTGCTAATGAAGGGGGGAAACTGACAATATTGGAGAAGGGAGAAAGCATGAGAGAAAAGCCCCTTAAGAAAAGGAAAGGGCTGATAGCTGAAGCATAGATAGGGGCAGAGGGGAGAGTTGGCTCTAGAAAAGATGACAGACAGTTCTTCCTCTGAGACTAGAGGGAAAGATGAAAATAAAATATTGAGAACAAAGAGTTGCTTTAGTGCTATTGAATGAGGGAAAACTAGTTAAGACAAATACTCTATACCCTCCAGTTAAACTTTCCTGGGGAACTTTTGTAATACAGATCCCACTCAATTACTCTACTAGTTTTTATATCCAGAGGGTTAGGTGAGATATGTAGTGGTGGGACCATTTTTAGCTTAATTAGACTAAAATCAATTTTGTTTATATCTGCCAGGGCTTGGAATTGAGTAACGAAATATGAATAAAAGAATGGTTAGGTAAGGATAAAGGGATAGTTGAAAGTGTTCAGTGTGCCTTGGGATTTTGATTGTATCAAGTAGGGTCTAATGGTGAAGGGTATTATATATTTTATATAGTACTTTGGTTTTTCTTTAATTATTCAAAATTTATCATTTCGTTGGTAATCGTTCTAATAATGCAGGTCACAACCCTTAATAGATATTACGTAAGGGGCAAAAAATTCATTGCCATCTAATAAAGGACCTTGGCTTAAAGAGGAGGAAAAAGAGAATCATCATCCTGTCAAAGTTCTGCCATGTCCCTCATCAATTTCTGATCTAAAATGATTAATCATTGCAAGTAATTTATTGGTTTGAACTGGGGATTTTTTTTAAAAAATAATTTTAAGAAGTATAAGGGGCTGGTAGGGTTTTACTTGTGAGAATTTAACCTGAAGTCCTTAATATATTTAGCTATATAAGAGGGCAATGTTATGAGTATGAGGAATCCCTAGCACTATGAACCCATCCTTCACTATCTTTCTCTTATTAAGGGGACTTAGAGACATTATGAGTTCATCCAATTGCACAGGTGTTTTGAAAATCTTATAGATATCATAGGATCATAGATTTGGAGTTAAGGAGGAGCCTTAGAATCCGTTAAGCCCAACTCCCTCATTTTGCAGATAAGGAACCTGAGGCACCGCTGTCCACAAGGTCAAACACCAAGTAAATTTCTGAGGTGGGGTTTGAACCCAGTCTTCCGGACTTCAAGTCAAGCACCCTATTATCCTGCTATGTCAAGCTGTGTATTCACATATTCTTCCAGAGATGATGACTCTTAACTACTTACCCTCCTACCTTCATTGGGGTTTCTCATGTTCCCAGAAGATTGCTAATGAAACCTGGTAACTATGACCCTCTCTTAGAAATAAATCCACAAACCAATGTTCGCATGAATAATAGTTCACATTTACATCATGTTAATAGTTTATCTTAAAAAAATAATAAGTCTGCTATTTCCCTTGGGGGGATGAGAGGGAATGGGCCTCTTTCTCTTTTCTTGTTTGAGAGCACTAAATCCCAGTCCTAATCAGATGACTTTGCAACTGTAAGAACTTAGTCTTTCACAAATACTGTCCTCTAATGCTGCCCCAGTATAGTCAAGATTCAACATAATTAGAACTCACTTGCAGACTTTTTTGTCCCACGTCAGACATCACATAGGGAGAGGATGGGTGTTTGGATTCTCTCTTTGTGTCAGCAGGAGACAACAATGAGAAGGAAGAGGAAAATTTTCAACAAGAAAATCCAGAAAATGGGGAAGTAGACGCAGTGCCTTCGGAATGGTACAAAAGAGACATTTCCCTTCATCCTAAATTGGGGAGGGAGTGTGAGAACGAACCAAGATTCCCTGATCAGAAAAGGGTAGGTATGTCTATACCTCAAGAAAAGAGATTTATAAGTCTTTTGATTACTATTGAAAATTCTACTCAATTTGAAGAACTTTCCCACTTTGTAGGAACTAGAATCTCTTGTCTCCAAGAACAGGCAGCACCAACATGCTTTAAATGTCTCCTGTGTGATAAAGCCTTTATCAAAAGATCATACCTTATGTCACACCAGAGAAGCCACAAGAGAACGAAACCCTATAAATGCACTGTCTGTGAGAAAAACTTCAATAAGAAGTCAAATCTCAGTGCTCATGAGAAAGTCCATACAGGGGAAAAGCCATATAAATGTGATGCTTGTGGGAAAAACTTTGCTCAGAGATCCAACCTTGTTTCACATGTGAAAATACATAAGAAATCCCAAACATATGAATGTGCTAATTGGGGGGAAAACTTCAGTCGAAGAACACATCTCATTCACCATGAGACCATCCACCTCGTAGACAATACTAATAAATGTGAGAAGTGTGGGAAAAGCTTCATTTGTAAATCAAAATTTATACAGCATCAGAGAACCCATACAGGGGAAAGACCCTACAAGTGTCCAACATGTGATAAAAGATTTAGTCAGAAATCAGACGTTTTAATTCACCAGATAATTCATACTGGAGAGAAACCTCATAAATGTACTGAGTGTGGCAAAAGTTTCACTCAGAAAACAAATCTTGCTAGGCATAAGAAAACACATTCAGGACAGAAACCCTATAAGTGCATTGACTGTGTGAAAAGTTTTGGTAGGGTTTCACACCTTATTACACATCAGAAAATCCACACAGGAGAGAAACCCCATAAATGTAATCAGTGTGGCAAAAAATTCATTTGGAACTCAGATCTGATACACCATCAGAAAATTCATACTGAAGAAAAACCTTATAAATGTTTCATATGTAAGAAAAGATTCACTAAGAATTCAAATCTTGCTGCCCATCATAAAATTCATACAGGAGAGAGGGCCCATAAATGTAACAATTGTGAAAAGAGCTTCAGTCGGAGCTCACATCTACTTACACACCAGAGAATCCATACTGGAGAAAAACCTTATAAATGTTTCATGTGTGAGAAGAAGTTCAACTGCAGTTCAAACCTCATTACTCATCAGAGAATACATACAGGAGAAAAGCCATATAAATGCACAATGTGTGAGAAAAGTTTTAGTCGCAGCTCAGACCTTGTTAATCATGAGAGAACCCACACAGGAATAAAACCATTTAAGTGTGCTATATGTAAGAAAAGCTTCAGTCGAAGTTCTCACTTGATAACTCACCAGAGAATCCACACAGGAGACAAACCCTTCAAATGTGTAAAGTGTGGGAAATGTTTCAGTGATAAATCATACTTCAGTTACCATCAAAAAATTCACGTGCATTAGGACTGAAGAAGTGAAGACTATGTTCTTTAAGTTGGCAGAAGTTACTAAGATAAATGGAACAAACCAGAAACTCAGTGAACAAGATTAGGATCTGAAGACTGAATGGTTTGGGAAATGTAAAGATGAAGTTTAATGTTCAGTTGTAAAAACAAATGTTTTTTATTTGTATTGGTGTTAGTCAAAAGATGAATTGTTCAAAGTTAATGACACCAGCCTGAAAAAAAAGATGCAATAACTGCCTTTCATTATTAATTCCCACAAAGTTGTTTTATTCCTCACCCTTTAATGCCTTTGTGTTTTTTATGGTTGTGTTGTGGGATGCATAGGCAAAGAAGCATTGGGATTGAAAAGAATAAGTTTCTTAAGTTGGCTGAGAATACCGATTAAGTTGGAAATAGAACTTTGGTGAACAAGATTAGAATTTGAAGACAGTGCTTTGGGCAGTAGAAAAATAAAGCTTAAAGTTCAGATTTATGAATAAATTTTATATTTGTGTTGGCTGGTCAAAACATCTGATGGATTTTTCAAGGTAAATGATACTAGCTTAGTGAGAAAAACTAAAGGGGCTAAGTTTTGTCATTGACCCCCACAATTAAAATTGTTCCATTATCCTTTGAATACAATTTTGTTTCTTCAGGTTACATTGTGAGGTGGTGAACGAGTCATTCTCTAGCCTACTTAACTCCAATTCAGTAATATCATTATTTGGTGATAGTTCCATTTTTCAAATATTTACAAACTATCATTCAGCTGCCCTAATCAAAACTAAGTGGGATACATGATTATAAAGTAATGTAACTCATTTGTTTTTTAATCAATCAGCCCAGAACTTTGAGGTTTCAGTAAGTGTTGGAACTTGCAAAGTAGTTCCCCCTTGGAAGCTACAAACATAGTTCATTGATGCCGCTATTGTTCAAGGCATATGTGGAACTCCTCTCTGGAAACTGGGTTCAGAGTCTGTCACATTACCTTTAATATCACAATCATCCTTTGAATGTGGATTTGGTTTTTTGAAATAGTCAAAAGTTATTCTGAGCCAAGAATCATGTGACCTGATTCTTGGGTTTAAAAAATAAAGTGTGACTAGACAGTAATAAGACTAACTTTCTGTGTGTGTGCTTTGAATGGAGTTCTCAAAGAGGATTTGGTAAAGTGTTTTGAGCAGCATCATTGGAATAAGGATATGGCTTCTCAAAGGGACTGCTCTGAAGACAATCTTCCTGTAAGGGGATCAGAGAAGCAGTATGATATAGTGGAAGAAGCCTTGGAGTCAGAATAGTTAGGGTTCAGACCTTGGTTCAGCCACTTACAAGTTGTCTGTGGTCAAGTACCCTCACCATCTGAGCTCTGATTTACCCCTCAATGTGAAATGGGGCTAATCCCTTACAGTCACCTTACAGGGCAGTTGCAAGGAAACAGATCTGTAAACTATTAAGTACTCTAGGGGGGTTATTTTTACGAATAGAAGTTGTACAGTCTTTCCTAAATTAGTCTTCTTACTTTATGAGTCACACTCCTTTTTCAGCTTGTTTGGTCTTTTTTTTTCATAAATGAATCCCTTCAACTCCTTAACACTGTTACAACTTCTCTTTTTCCCCTTTCTTTGGTTTTATGAGAAAGGAGTATCTCAGAAGTCTGTGCTTTGAAAGGTCTTGTCTTGAAGAGCTAATGGAGAAGCAAAGGAATATAGCTATTTCTGGATTAATCATGTGGGGATTGTCCTCCGCTCCAAATTATACAGATGTTTTTGTTCAGATGCAATTGAATGGTCCCTCTCTATGGTGGTGTGTGGTCCTCAAAAATCTCATGTAAAGTTATTTTAACTGTGCTGGTGGAGTTTTGCCATTTAAAGGAAGGCTCTGTGTGTGTGTGTTTACTTAATGTGAATGATCCCCCTCAATCTCTGTCATTTAAGTTTTTTAAAAAATAAATCTAAATGTTTATATGTTGGATTTGCTTAACGGTATACTTGTATTGTGTACTCTTCATTGCTACTCTTCTTAATGAAATTCTTTTTTTTATTAACATTGACAGGTGCTTTAGTCAGCCAGTGGTCCTCAGATCATTCACTTATGGACCCCTCTTTCGCAGAACAAAAGGACTAGCATCCACCAGAATGCCTTGTACATAGGACAACTGTTTTGTTCTATTTGAATATCAACTCCACCTACACCTGCTTGCCACAGCAAAAGAAACAAAACTATTTTGATCCCAATCACGGTAATTTAGTAAATGATAAATCTGTTTTCAAAACATTTGTATGTGTCCTTGGTTGAATCACTTAAACCTCTCTGGGCTTTAGTATCTTCATCTGTAATAACCATAATGAGAATAACAGTTTATATCTATAGAATGCCTTATAAAGGCATTTCATATAAGGTAAAATGCCTTGTACTTGATATATAATAGTCTTATAAAGTGAAAAGGTTGGTTAAAATTATGTCTAAAGTTCCCTTCCTTTCTAAAATTCCATGACTGCTTTTGAACATAGTTTGAAATCTTCAGTATTTTTTAAGTCTAATTTTTTAAAAAACAAAAAAACAACAAAAACAAGATACATCCTTTTTTTATTCAGCATTTCAGGTGAGGCTAGGGAGGCATTGCTCTGACCCAGTGGCAGTGCTAGAAAAAAACTTTAAACCATGACACTTAAAACAAAAAATGAAAATATGTAAATACAAATTTACTTCCTAACCTGAGGAAAGGCATCTGTGATCTATCCATATAATGTAGTGTTAGACTGAATTAAGTAGTATTCAGATCACAGAAAGTAATAGGCACTCTCTACTCTCTTGGTAAAACTAAATTAATAATTATGTTCAATTTTGGAAACCACAATTTAGGAAGAGCATTGATAAACTGAAGTTTGTTTAGGGGAGAGTGGTAAGGACAGTTTGAGAACCATGTCATAGAGGGAATGGTTGAATTAATGGAGGATGTCTAGCCTGGATAAAGAAAAAGATTCCTAAGGAGAGACATACTCGATATCTTCAAATACTTGAAATATTGTCCTGTAGAAGAGTAAGTAGATCTGTTTATTGTTCCAAAGAGCAGAGGTGGGAAAAGTGGCGAAAAGTTATAGGAAGATAAATATTGACCCATTATGAGAACCAGCAGCTCCAACTAAAAACAGATGTTTCAGTTTATCCAGGAATTAGTTGGCTCTCAGTTACTAAATATATTCAAGCAGAGATGATCATTTGCTAGAAATTTTATAAAAAAAAAAAATCTCTTATATATTGGAGAAGGTTGGGGGGTGGGGGAGAAGAAAGGGAATATGGGCCAGGCACTTCACTAAGGGCTTCTCACAACAATCCTGGGAGGTGGGTGCTCCCATCACCTATATTTTATAGGCGACTAACCTGAAGCCGACAGAGGTTAAGGGACTTGTCCAGGTTCACGGCAAGTAAGTGTCTGAAATCACATTTGAACTCAATTCTTTCAGACTCTAGGCCCAATGCTCTGTGCACTCTGGCACCACCTAGCCGCCTCTAGTATGACTTGTTGTACCTATATATAAGCTGCCAACTTACGAGTTGTTATCCTATACCTTATATGCTATATTTTATATGAGATGTTAGATAAATAGAATACTTATTAAGAATTTACTCTTAAGGCACTGGGAATAGAAATGAAAGCTAGCAAGACAATCCTTTCCTTTAAGGAACTACCTTCTAAAGGCAGAATAACACGTAAAGGAGAACAGGAAAGATTAGATGAGGGTGGGTTAGGGCAGAGGTAGACTGATGGCATGGTAAAGAGGTGACCAGGCTTGGAGGCCTGTTTCATAACAAGGCAAAGCAAACACTCATCTATGAGAGCCAGGCAACCCAGGGGCAAAGCCCAAGGTGGGAGAGGGGAATTGGGGGGCAAAGATGAAGATAATGGTCACCTTTACTTTAGCCTAATGCTTGGCATCGTTCTGAGAGCTTCTAAGTGGTCAATTTCTAGTTCCTCCTGAGTTAGATCTTTAGATGTTAGTTTCATTATTTAGTTTGAATATTGTGAATTCTCAGAACTTAAGGACGATACTCAAATGTAAGTATAAAAATACATTCCCAAGCCAAATAGGAATAATTTTAAAACTTTTTCTATCATTTCATACCATATATGCCATGGTTGCTCTCTGAGATACTAACCAAGATTTAATAATATGGAATCTGGTGCTATGGTGCTAATGCCATGTTATTTATTATAGTATGTCACATAAATATAATATTATAATATAATTATAGTGGCTCACATTTATAGTTTATAGATTTCAAAGTGTTTTCCTCACAATAATCCAGTGAGGTAGATAGTACATGGATTATTAGGCCCATTTTGCAGATAAAGAAACCAGAGGTTCAGTGATTTGCCCGTAGTTAAACAGAGACAGTAAGTTCTAGAGCCATGACTAAGCTGGGTTTTCTGATTCCCAAGTCTAGCGTTCTTTTTACAATACTGTGCTGCCTCTCCACCAGTTCTGTGGTGCCCCTTATTTTGTTGTATTATATAAGATATGTTATCCTGTAACTGACAATGAGGAAAGGCTAATCATCTGGCTTATTTGATTATAGAAGCATAGATATATGAGCTGGAAAGGACCTTAGAAGTCACCTAATCCAACTCATTTTACAGATGAAGAAACTGGGGCCCAGAGAAATTTCTTGCCCAAGGTCACATAGATAGGAAGTGACAGTCAAGATCTGAACCCAGGTCTTATGACTCTCAATCTGTCCCTTGTATCACACTACTTTCCCAATATCGGACATGAATGATCAAAAATTTCCCTGATAACAATGTCAGTTTATGAAAAGGAGAAAATGATCATGGAGCCCCACATAATGTGGATTACAGCTGAGAAGAGCTGGGCATTTGAGAATAGGGAAGTTTGGTAGGTCAAGATCTCCCCTCCAGAAGTCTATGTGATGCTAATGTCCAGAAAAATTATGGAAAGACAGAATTATAAAAATATTTAAGGTAATTTAAAAAAATGTTTGGAAAGAGGAGTGGGAGGATCAGTACCTATCTACATTTGTATGACTGGGTACATAAATTTTTAGGTAATGATATTTAAAGTGCGTGAGTAAGACTACTTTGCAAATAGGCCAATATGTAAGCTTAAACACTTTGAATCCAGTTTAAAAAAAAACAAAAAACCCTGGTAGGTGCTTTGAACAACTTGCTCTATACCTTCCTGTTGAGTACCTCTGATTATCACATAAAAAAAAAAAAAACAGGTTCTGGCTGCAAAGAAGTATGACAAGTCCATCTAGAGTAAGGGATCTTAACCCACTAATCTGTGAATTTCACTTGTTACACACACACACATAGATATACATATATATACATATTCCTATAACTAATATGATTGATTTCCTTTGTAATCTTATTGATTTTATTTTATGCATTTTAAAATATTCTGAAAAGGGGTTCATAGGCTTCACCAGACTGCCAAAAAAGTTCATGAAACAAACAAACAAAAGGTCAAGAGTCTCTGACACAGAGAAAATGGAGAAAAGAATGTTGGGATTAAGATTGGTGAAAGAAAGTGGCAAAGAGTAAAGAAATCAATAATAATGCTAGTTCACACTTACCTAGTGCTTTAGAAATCGCCTTATACATATTATCTTGCTGGAGCC